GGCTCTCTCATGGCCTGGCACAGAAAGGCATCTCCCTGCTTGATGCCCTCGCGGAGGGCCTAAGGTAAGTAAGGTACACTTCTCCACACAAAGTGGTGGGGCAAGGGCCAGGCGACCCTCGCGACCCCACGTCCAGAAGCCCCGAGGCATGGAAAGTGCAAGGCCCGGTGCGCGTGGGTGAGGTGTGTGTGTGTGTGTGTGTGTGTGTGTGTGTGTGCATGTGTGTGTGTGTGTGTGCGTGTGTGTGCGTGCGTGTGCGTGTGTGTGTGTGTGTGCGTGCGTGTGTGTGTGTGTGTGTGTGTGTGTGTGTGTGTGTGTGTGTGTGTGTGTGTGTGTGTGTGTGTGTGTGTGTGTGTGCATGTGCATGTGTGTGTGTGTGTGTGTGTGTGTGTGTGTGTGCGTGTGTGTGTGTGTGTGTGGAAATGAATCCGTCCGGAGGGCCTCGTGCGGCTCCGTCGGCACCGCAGCGGCGAACTGAGCGAGGCCGGCGCCGCTGAGGATGTACCCGTCCGAGTCGCGCCGCTCGTTGCACTCCTGCTGCGTCATGAACACGCCGGGGTCAGCGCGGGAGTGCGAGAGCGTGCAAGGTCTTCCGAGCACCGCGTGGACACGAGGGGTACGAGTAGAGGGAGCTCCGCTGGAGTCCGGTCGAATACGGCCGACCACGTGTCCTCTTGAGCGCTACTTGCAATACAAGACTACGCATTCAGCTTCTGGGACACTCCTCCTCACTCGCCGCTGCGGCCGCCGCGCCGCCGGTTGACGCGCGGCGTGCGGCTCCAGTCGGCTGCTTGAAGCCCAGAAAGGTGAGGAGGGCCTGCGGCGGGTTGTCGGCAGGGAAGGCTGCGGCGGTCTGGCGCAGGTACTCCTGCAGCTTGTGCCGCCGCTCCCGCTTGGTCGCGTCGCTCGCGCCCTTGATGCCGTACGTCTTTGCCACCGGGAAGGGCACCTGCGCGGAGGACGGCGATGTCGTGCAAAGGTGGTGAGGCGGTGGTCTGTCGCGCTTGCGGCGCGGCGGTGTTGCGTGGCGAGGCGTTGCGGTGCGGTTGGGCGACGCGGTGAGGTGGCGGCTTGGCGGGAGAGGCACCGCGATGCCGAGCGCAGCGTGCAGCTTCTCAAACTCGGAGAAGCGGCGAAAGGCGACGGTCGGCGCAGCTCCCTCGGTGGCGGCGGCGGTGGCCACCTTGTAGCGCGTGTGCCCGCCCTCGTCGGAGAAGGAGGGGACTTCGATCAAAAGCTTCAGCATTCGCGTGATGTACCTAGGTATGTGGCCGACACTAGGAAAAGAAAAAACTGCAGCGCCTCGCCTCTCTACACGCGCTTTCGGGAAAAAGAAAGTCTACCAGACGGCGCCGCGCCGCCGCTCGCGCCGCCTCGCCGCCGCCCCCGCCACCGCCCCCTCGCCAGACACGCCGCCGCCCGCCCGCCTCCTCGACCTCCCCTCGGAGCTCCTCGTGCGCGCCCTCTCTCGCTGCGACCCCGCCGACATCGCTCGCGTCGCGGCCGTCTCGCTGCTCTTTCACGCCTCGCTTGCGGTAGAGGGCATCCGCTTGTGGGCGCAAGAGCGCGGCTTCGAGCTGCCGGCGCAGCCAGAGGGCGAGGGCTGCGCCGTGCGATGGCTGTGCTATTCGGCGCTGACGTGTGAGGCCAACCCGCCGGCGAGGGCGGCCGCAGGCGCTGAGCACAGCCTTTTTATCGTCGGCGAAGGGCGGCTCTCGTCGTGCGGCGCTGCGGAGCACCTCGCAGGCCTCCTTGGGCACGGCGAGGAAGTGACGCGGCTCAACACGCCGACCCGCCTTACGTCGACGCTGGGCGGCGAGCGCGCCGTGAGTGTGACGGTGGGAGACAACCATAACCTCGCCCTCGCCGCCGACGGTGCCGTCTGGAGCTGGGGCTATGGAGGCTTAGGCAGGTTGGGCCACGGCGACGAGGAGCAGCAGCTTCAGCCAAAGAAGGTCGAGGCCTTGGCTGGCCAGCGCGTCGTCGCCGTGTCAGCTGGGCAGTACCACAGCCTCGCCCTCACCGCCGACGGTGCCGTCTGGAGCTGGGGCTTTGGAAACACTGGCCGGTTGGGCCACGGCGACCAGCAGTACCAGCTGTTGCCCAAGAAGGTCGAGGCCTTGGCCCACCAGCGCGTCGTCGCTGTGTCGGCTGCAGACCACCACAGCCTCGCCATCGCCGCCGACGGCAGCGTCTGGAGCTGGGGCGGTGGAGCCGGTGGCAAGCTGGGCCACGGCGACCATGGCGACGAGCAGCGCCAGCTGCTGCCAAAAAAGGTCGAGGCCATGGCTGGCAAGCGCGTCCTCGCTGTCGCGGCTGGATGGTCGCACAGCCTCGCCATCACCGCCGACGGTGCCGTCTGGAGCTGGGGCGCAGGAGGCAATGGCAGGCTGGGCCACGGCGACCAGCAGGAGCAGCTGCTGCCCAAGAAGGTCGAGGCGTTGGCGGGCCAGCGCATCGTCGCTGTCGCGGCTGGATGGTCGCACAGCCTCGCCATCACCGCCGACGGCGCCCTCTGGAGCTGGGGCTGGGGAGCCTCTGGCAAGCTGGGCCACGGCGACGAGCAGGACCAGCTTGCCCAAGAAGGTCGAGGCCTTTGCTGGCCAGCGCGTCATCGCTGTCTCGGCGGGAGATGTGCACAGCATCGTCATCACCGCCGACGGCGCCGTCTTTGCCTGGGGCCAGGGCGAGACCGGTTGCCTAGGCCACGGAGAGGACCTGTCGAACCAGCTGCTGCCCAAGAAGATCGAGGCTTGGGCGCCGGGCCAGTGAGAGGGGGGAATCGTGAGATCGAAAGCCTTTTGTGTTCATGCCAGTGCTAAAAGAAAGAAAAGCATGGGATTTTTGTCAAAAAGTCCGAACCCTGCGGCCAAGGTGTTCGGTCGAAAATGCTCGTTGTTCGATCCCGTGGTCGAGAAGGCGTGAGAGCTGCACCGTCGCCGAGCCGGAGGCGGGCAAGCCCGAGGGCGCACCTGTGGCTTTGCGTCGGCAAACCCCGGAAAGTGGGTCAAAAATGACCACCGACACGTGTAGGCGCGTATCTTAGCTAAGGCTCGCGCCCTGACGTGTAAGTGCTCATGTGCACCGAGCCCATATACGTCGGGGGGTGTTGCCAGCACTGGTAGATGACCTCTCGGAGAAGAGCCGAAGGGACCTTGGCGCCGGGGTCACGAGGAACTTGCAAGTCGTGGCCGAGGCGGCGACGGGAGCGGTGCAGAGGTGGATCCAGCTCAATGATGAGGCTACGGCGCGCATAATGAAGAGAGAGGAACACATCGAGTGGCTGAGGAAGCTCTTCGCTGGGTGGAAGGAGGCCCGGCCAGCCTTGAGGGAGTCGCGGAGGAGGAGGGATAATGGAGGTAACGTGGGAACAGGCCAACAGCCAGTGGGACGAACGAGGGCCGCGACGGCGGCTCAAGCGGGAGGGAGCGGAGACGGTGGGCAGAGAGCGAAGTGGGTGAGACTGATGATGCTCCTCCGACTTAGGGAGCGGTTCAGATGCTGGGCGGGCTTCAGGCTGGTGCTCACGCGAACAGGAATCGACGCGATGTGCAAAGCATACAAGAAGGGGAGAGGAAAGAGGAGAGACGCCGGTGAGGACGAAGCAGAAACTAGCGCAGACGAGAGCAGGGCAGACCCGGGGACTGGGGAGCCGGAGCAGACGGCATCGGCCGCCGAGGGAACGTTGGGAAGAGGCACGAGGAGGGCGGCGACTTCGACCGACTATGGAGGACCCGTCGCCAGACGACGCAGGGCAGAAGACGGTGAGGCGGAGCAGACGCGCAGGGTGAGACGAGGGAGGGAGCAGGACTTTGCGGAGATCAGCAGGAGGATGTACGAAGAGATTAGGAGCAGCAGGGACCCGAGGGACCATGTGGAAGACGGCTAGTGCTAGTCCCCCATCGGGAGGACGACCCCGGCTAGTCGCCGACCACACCCACAAAGAACCCTGCACAAAGATCGCAAGGGCGGGGGCCTGTTCCTTTTTACCCATCTCACAGTAGAGAGGTGTCCGTTTTTATTTATTTATTTATTAGCCCATATACGCACCTGCATGTGTGGACGCGAGTATTAACTAAGATGAGTGCCCACGCATGAGGATGCGCGTCTGCGTCCAGGTAGCCCAGATACCGTCTTCGTGTCTGGGCGCTTATCTTGAGTAAGGCTCGCGCCTACACGTGTAGCTGCGTATCTTGAGATGAGCGCCCACGCTTGTGGCGCCTATCTTAGCTAGTACTCGCGGTGTCGGCGTGGGTGCGTGGCGGTCAGCATACGCTCCCACACATGCAGACGCGAATATTAGTCAATATGAGCGCTCACACGTGGAGGCGCGTATGTTGACATACGCACCTGCGCATATGGCGCTCAAAAGTGAATAGTTTTGGGTGATACGCGCTCAAGTCGCCTGTGTCATCTGTCCCTGGCTTGCTGGGCGCTGCTTTATGGCGGATCTCCTTGATGCCGCGGAGGATGATGCCGGCGCCGAGGTGCCCGCGGCGGCCGGGTAGCGAAGCGTTCAGACCACATGGCGGTCAGCAACATCGAGTGGAAAGACGTGGCGACGGTCGTCGAGCCAGCCGTGGCCAAGTGTCTCAACCCCGGCCTGCGCGAGAGGAGGACTTGACGGAGGAGGCCGCACCTTCTTTGTCGTCCGCAAGCGCCCCGAGGGGGCCGCCGTGAAGTATTGGCGCTCATCTCAAGATACGCAGCTACACGTGTAGGCGCGAGCCTTACTCAAGATAAGCGCCCAGACACGAAGACGGTATCTGGGCTACCTGGACGCAGACGCGCATCCTCATGCGTGGGCGCTCATCTTAGTTAATACTCGCGTCCACACATGCAGGTGCGTCTATGGGCTCGGTGCACATGAGCACTTACACGTCAGGGCGCGAGCCTTAGCTAAGATACGCGCCTACACGTGAGGGTGGTCATTTTTGACCCACTTTCCGGGGTTTGCCCTTTGCGTCTAAACGCCGAAAAGTACCATCCGCCGGGTCGAAATGCTCGTTGTGCTGCTCGCGGCAGCGTCGGGCAATCCGGCCGTCGTCGCCGCCGCATCACCGTTGGCGGCTCCGGCGAGGGCGCACCGTGCGCTCGCGCCGACTCTCGACTGCAACGGGGTCCTCGCCGCCGTGCACAAGGCGCTGAACGGGAAGGACTGGACAAAGGAAGTGAACGGACGGTTCGTTGGGTACGACGTCGGATGGCAGTGGCCCGACCCTTCGATCGATTGCTGCAATAAGGAGTTTGTCAGGTACCCCCGCCTACGCCAAGCGAGCCTGTAGAGTGCCCGTGCACAGGTTTGACCCGCTCTCTCCCAACGACGCAGGTGCAACAAAACAACACACGAGGTCGCGGAGCTGGATCTGCGGCACATCGGCAGGCTCAAGGGCACTCTCCCAGTCCAGCTCGGCCAGCTCACCTCGCTCAAGTACCTCCAACTAGAAGCGGAATACGTGTCAATGTATTCCAACCAGCACTCTCGGCTCCGCTGGTTCGGCTGTATGCGTACCTCGTGTCCACACGGTGCTCTGAATTCACTGCACAAGACCATCCTCCCGCCCCGACGCTGGGTGTGTCCTCACCACGCAGGTACCTCGACCTCAAAGGCACCCTCGGCGTCACCGGCACTCTGCCGCCCGAGCTCTTTGGCAGCAAGATGAGCGAGCTGATCGCGGTTCGGGCCAAGTACAGCTCACTCTCCGGCACGCTGCCCGCGAGCATCTTCGAGCTGCCTCGCCTCGACAGGATCTACATCGGCGGCTCCCGGAGAACGCCCTTGCTCATCTCGGGCACCCTCCCGAGCGAGATGGGCGAGATCCAGCCGAGATCTAGCCGAGATCCAGCCGAGATCTAGCCGAGACACGCGGCCGAGAGCAGATACAGCCGAGAGCTCATCGCTTCTCTCGGGCAGCAGCAGTAGCGCTACTTCAATCCGTTGCCAGATCTGGAACCCCTATCCACGCCCTAGCAGCACCCCCCCCACACACACACAACACACCCCTCCCTCTGCCTCGGGTTGTAGGAAGCACCATAACCGAGCTGCAGGTCGACAGCACGCGCATGTCGGGGACGATAATGGATTCGGTCTCGCGGCTGGGGAGGTGGGCTTCCAGTAGTTGTAGATCTCCCCCGCATCTCCCCGTATCTCCCCCACGCCTCCCCCAGTTCTCACCCAGGCTGAAGACGCTCGAGCTCGACGACAACTCGTTCTCCGGCACCGTCCCGCCCTCCCTCTCGAGGCTGAGCGAGCTCCAGGCGCGAGAGATCTGGAGAGTCCGACCACCCCACCCCCACACAACCCCCTCCACACCACCGCCACACACCACACACACACACACACACACACACACACACACACACACACGCACACACACACACACACACACACACACACACGCACACACACACACACACACACGCACACACACACACACACACACACACACACCCACACACACCCACGGGGCCACCCCCACCCCCCCCCCCCAAGGGGGCAACAAACCCAGGGGCCCGCGCCCGCGGTGGGGCATTTTCCCCCCCCCCCCCCCCACACACACACACCACACACACCTCCAGCTTTGTTCGGCCTGGGTGGTGCCCCACCGCCCCCCCCCCCCCCCCTTACTCCCCTTACATCCCTCTCCCCTCCCGCAGGACCTCGACCTCTCCGACACCAAGCTCTCCGGCACGCTGCCGCCGTGGATCTCGCAGCTGGCCCAGCTGCGCAAGCTCGAGATCGGGGACGCCGGGCTCTCGGGCTCCATCCCGCCGGAGTTGTCGCTGCTGGGCAGCCTCGAGGCGCTTGAGCTCTCGGAGAACTTCCTCTCGGGCACCATCCCTCGCGGTGCGCCGACGCGGAGCAATTATGTGTAGGGAGATGTGTGTGTGTGTGTGTGTGTGTGTGAAGGGGTACATAGGGATAGGGAGATCATTCGTCACTGTGGGGAGAGGGGGGGGGGGGGGGCTGGGGGGGGGCTTGAAAATAGGTGCGTTGGGGCGGGGGTAGCTTGAGGCGTGCTGGAGGTGTGCCTGAGGTGTGCCCGTCCCCACTCATTCCACCCCTCCTGCGACAGGCCTCCGCATCGCCGCAAAGGGCACGTGCGAGCTGACGGACAAACGCCGGTGGGCGGGCGCCAGTGCCAGCTCGTGGTACGCCACCTTGGCTAACGAGCTGCCGCCCGCGCCGCCGGCTCCGCGCATCCAGGCTGGCCGAGCCTTGGCGTCGGTGGGCACGGCGTCGGTTCCGCCGCCGTCCTCGGTGGCGCCCGCCCCCCCTCTCTCGGGGTGGCAAGGCGGCCCACAGAGCGGCAGCATCTGGGACCCGGGAAGGCTGACTGACGGCCGCCCTGCGGTGCTCTGGAACCACTGGCCGCCCGGCACTGACGGCAACTCCTTCGATTGCCCGCTCCCGAACGACCTGCCCGAGCCGTGCCGTGCCAAGGGGACTGTGTGCAACTGGGTGCAGTCGTGGCCGTTTCCGCCCGCGCCGCCCCGCCCTCCGGCACCGCCGCCGCTCCCTCCAGCGCCGCCCCGGCCCTCCGCACCGCCCTCGCCACCCCTGCCGCCACCGCCCTCGTCGCCGCCGCCCTCACCGCCACCGCCCTCGCCGCCACCCCCGCCGCCGACACCCCCGCCACCGCCCCCGCCACCACCGCCCCCGCCGCCGCCGCCCCCAAAGCCCCCCCCGTCGCCCGAGCCCCCCCCTTCGACCCCTCCTCCGGCGGCGCCCGCGCCAGAGGCCCTCTCCCTCGTTGCTGTTTTGGATCTGGTTTTGGATTGGGGCCTCCTCCTCGTTGCTGGCGGTCTCTTGGGCTGTTTTGTGGGGACAAAGATGCTTGGCTTCGGGGGAGCGAATCCCTTTGGCCGCATGGAGGACGAGGGCGCGTCCGGGCTTCTCGAGGCGGCCAGCGAGGCGCCCCCCCGACCCCTTCCCCCGCCCCTTCCCCCG